TTGCTGTAATAGAAAAGAAAAAGAACAAAGAATTGGCCGTCGTCGGTGTAAGCTGGCGGCCGCGGATATGTAGCATCGAATTGATCGAGCTGTGATGCGGCCTATTTGTGACTAACAAAAAATCGTGCATCATATTGTTTCAAACCTGCCCCCGACCCCCTTGACATCGAAACGTCTGAAAGGACCAGTATGAAATTAAGAACAGAAGTAGATTGTGGTAGATTTGGATACGTAGGATACTTTTTACCCCTGGGAACGCGGGCGAAGCCGCTGCCAGAAGTTAGTATAATAATATTAGTTTATCCAGAAATAATAGGAAGGTTAAGTGTGCAAGAGCCACCCAATGTCTGAGATATTGAAATACTGTACTCAAGGATACACTGTTTGTTTTTTTGTTCAACGGTGGATTTTTGTGATCCAATTTAATAGCCATGTAGCCAGTTTCTTTCACATTATAAGCAAATTCAAAGTCCACTTTCTTCATGGGTTGATCCCATGAAGAAGGTTTGCGTAACTTATACATAACTTTAATAATTGGGCAAGCACCCGACGCTGGTGCCAGCTTATGTCAGATGTTCAACACTGAGTCCGTCATGGCTGGTCATGGCCATCGAGTTTACCGCCTGTCATTTTAGTAATAGCAATTTTAGTATCCTTTGTAAATACGACCGTGGTATTGTCGGTTTGACAGGCGTCAATATATAAATACTTGATATGGCTTTATGGAGGGGAGTATAACTTTATGGACTTGTATACAATATTAATTTATAGAGTAATAGTCCTTAAACACGTTTGCCTCTCCTTTGGAGGGGAGAAACCATCGACTCTTACCTACTGGAATAGCTAAGCTAATCCATTAACTAGGCTTTGTATTTGCACTACCTATTAGTATAATATGTCCAGAATTTTTTGACTGAACTCGTATTGAACGACTGAACATTAACATATTTTCTTTAATTTCTTATAACATAAATTTCTTAATAATGTATGTGTTTATTGTATGTAGTACATGTATTATTATATTTAATATGATTTTTTATTGAGTAGGTATGCATTGAGTATTAAGTTTTGCTGGTTTGCTCATCAAAAAGTTCATTAAGGGTGTAGTAACATTTTTCATTGAGGAACCGTTTTAATTTATATATGAACGCGTTATTTTTTTCAGCCTCTTTTATGTCAAAACAACTAAAAGCAAATGAAAATGAATACTTACAAACTGACTATGCTTCTGAACCAAAACTGTTACCCCCTAGCGTAAACTTGTTTAATATTGAAAAAGTTGTACATAGATCGATATTGTTTACATTTACAGCATCAATGTATAATGTAGATTGGCGATATATTAAAGAAGGGCCAAATTTAAAGTACCCTTAACCGACGAGCATGCATGAAAAGATTGATGACTGTTAATGAAGCGAAAGAGGTATGTAAGAATCGTAGTAATTGGCGTTCCTTAGTCTCTGCCTACCCCCATGGGAGACAGGCGTGAAGTTATGTATGTATGTATGTATGTATGTATGTATGTATGTATGTATAATGTTATCAATAGAACAAGAAGCACACAAGTTTTCTTTGTTTAAGAAGATATTTGAGTGTCATGTCTTTCAACTCGAAGTTAAGGTACAGTAAGAACCAAAGTGCATAGGAAATGTCAAAACACTTTTGCATAGCAATATTAGTGGCGCTTATGACCTTTTATATTTTTAATCTTAGCATCATTATCAAAATATGAGGGTAGATTTGAAACAAAGTGTCAAATAGATTTGAAACAACAGAAGACGTAAGCGAGATAAGTTTTGTGCAAGACAACTGTCCCATTTACTGTGCCGGTATAGTTCGTGTATGGTTTAGCAATCATCTTGAAATAAAAATTATTCCTTGGCTAGCTTGGTTCCCTGACTTAAGCCCTTTAGAAGTAACAAATATTAAAAAAATCCTCAAGAGGTTGGGTAGATAATTGTATGTCGGGGGACATAGCGGCTGTAACTTTAACAAATTGGTATTTATATTAGTATTTAGACTGAGGTTAAGTGTCAATCCTCTTTTCATTGAGAAAATGAATAATTAAGCTATAACCTCAGAACTTTAATTAAGTCTAGAAATATGTAACGTAAAATTCATTTTTATTATAATAACATGAGTGTGATGTGATAACATGAGTGTAAATGATTTCTTTTATGTAAAATATTTTACAATTTTACCTTAAGTTCAAAATTTGTTTCATTTATTATCATATAACAATAGGTTACCTTTATAATACATTTATTGTAATGTCTGTTTGTTCAAAGCAATTTAGTAATTAAATAAATTACTAAAATTTACAAGTAGATAATCGTTATATGTAAAATATAAAATAAATAAATTATATCTTTATATATCTTATATATATATATCTTTCATACACTTTATATACTGATGCTTATATACTTACTATTTATATTATATAAAGCCCAACCTTAGATTCGAACTCACACCTTTCCCTAAGTTTGTATGTCCTTGGTTTTCTGTAAAATAAAATCAGACTACAAGAAGAAGAAGTAAACAAGTTTGTAAATAAAACAGTATTATTATCTATTTACAAATAAATCATTTCATATCCAATAAATAAGCAAACATGTAAACAATAGTAGGTATACAAATTGAAAAGATTGATTGATTGAAAAGGATGCAATGATTTAATACAGAAAAGTTTAACCTTCATAACCTATAACTATTTAGCTAAATTTAATTATAATAGATCAAAGTGAATAGTGAAGTGAATCAACATCTTAAATGGAAAGAAATTTTAAAAATTTCTAACAGCTTAAAAATAACATCACTTCACCGTATATATCTAGTAGTGGACAAAAAAGCGCATTGCGATAACATTATTAATCAAATATTACTTAAGTTTTTGTTCACATTGATTAACAATTATGAATGTTATTTCTGTATAAATAAGGTTTATTTTATTTTGTCTATACTTCATAAACGGATAAAATAAAATTGTTGTTCGCGAGTTTCGTAGTTACCTCGAACATTGTAAACTTTATACTCAGGTATTGAAAAAATAGAAATTAAAAATATGTAATAAACTCAAAAACAACAGTGTCTACGCTGGGATCGAACCTGCAACCTGTAGTCTTTGATGTCATGCGATAACCTTTACGCCAAGCTTGCTTCTACAAAGCATCGTGAAATATTTGAAGTCATTCAAAACTTTATTGTATTTATTGGGTATGATTATGTAGTATGTAGCTCGATCGTTCATTATTCGTTTTATTAAATGTGTGTTACATATTATTTTTATCTTTACCCTCATTTTTATTTACACTTATTTACTGAATGAATACATATACCGTCACTAAGATAGGTAATATTGAATACCAATGTGTGCGTGAGGGACGAATGTTTTATGCATTTATTTATGTTCTTTCGCGTAGTGAGCGCGACGACAGTTTATTAGTGTGTGTTATTGCGGTAGTTCATAGCAATGTGATCTTTAGCCGTCTTATGGACTTTTGTAACCAGAGTACCCGACTGTACTTTTACGGACTCGCTCGCTTACGTTGTGTTTGTTGCATTTTCCGTGAAAATTTGTTATAAGGTGTACATCACGAGTGTATGTTATTGTGCGTTGTAACATCACGCCTTTTATCCCCGAAGGATTAGGCAGAGGTGCACACAGAAGTAACACGCACTTTTCACTATTTATGTTATGAGTCCCATGTAATAAGGGGTGAGCCTATTGCCATATAATAAGGTTGTAGGGAGTATGTTTTATTTTACATCAATAAGAAGTATTGATTTGGAGTTACAAAAAAAACACCGATTTATTTGAAAAACAGAATATACTTCCAGATTGTTACGGCTTGAAAAAGGCAGGCAGTTCGCCCGTGATTTATTTTTCCATATTCAAATTCTCTTCCTTTTGCCATGGGTTTCATTCTACTGCTATTGCGTTCAATAGCAGTTTCCGACCGACCGAGTGACCGACCGTTACAAAGGTTGTGTTGTGTGTCAGTGTTTAAACTGTCTGCCATTATTTCTAACTATCTTTCTTTCTAACTGTCATACTAGCTTCTGCCCGCGACTTCGTACGCGCGGATTGCGCGAACGTTTTTTCCTGTTCCCGTAGGATTTTCAGGATTTTTCTGTCTTATGAACCTTCTCCTAATAATAACAAATACAACAAAAATAAGAATTAGTGAAATTGGTCCGGGCTTTCACGCGTGATGTCGTGATCAAGGGATTTATTTTTATATATATATAGATTTTTGTGAGACTTACTAAATTAACTAATAATCGCGGGTTACTGATTGATTTTTAGTTAATGCTATTCATTATTAAAAGTTCGAACGTACCGAAAATACTTTATAAGAACAATACTTGCACCTACGAAACCTAAAGTTAAAACCTAGTTTTTTAAATATATGACTATCTATAATTATGTAATATATTATTGTGTATATGTATAGTCTGAAGTGTAGGTAATTTTTACGATTTGTAAACACGTAATTATTTAACGAGGAGCTCGACTAATTTGAAGTCATACTAGAGACTCATATCCATGAGCAGCATTCCGCGACCCGCGGGCGACGCGGACGCGGCGACTGTCGCGCTACTACTGACTGGCTACTTGAGTCTGCTGCGTGCGGTGCCAGCCCAGCGCGGCCAGCGCCCTCTGCCGTGATAGTTATTATTTTAATAGCATTGCCGAAGAGTTACTAAAGATACTGTATTTTGTATGTCTAGCGGATTTAATATAATGACTACATTGTATAAAACAAAGTCGCTATCCGCCGTCTGTCTGTCCCTATGTATGCTTAGATCTTTAAAACTAAGCAACGGATTTTGATGCGGTTTTTTTTTAATAGATAGTGATTCTTAAGGAAGGTTTATATGTATAATACATGAATATTGAACCCGTGCAGGTCTTCACGTCAGGTACCTATATATTGGTAGGAGTAATTTATTTCAAACAAATTAATAAAAATTGTAAGTATTTATTTATTATCTACATATAGTTATATTTTCGTACCTATTTATTATTTCGGTATAATTTATAGTGCAATGCACACGCATGAACGCCGCTTGGCAACAACACAGCGCGAGGCGGGGAGTTCCCCGCTACTACAGACAATACCTATATCTGTGACCAGACACTACCGAGTACAGAGCGAGCCACGCAGCACGGCACTAGACTCTGCTCGTCACTTGGTCTCGCCCGCACATCCCTGGGTGGAGTCGCTGTGCTCGCCGACTATACTTTCTACACTGCTGATGATAAAAGGTTTCAATTCTTTTTCATCGTCTGTTTCAATGGAGTTGCTGAGATCGAGAGCATCTTCTTGTCCTCGGGGATCTTCTTCATCTAGAAGCCGATGCAGGAAGGCGAGACATTCGCGTCGAAACAATCGTTGCTTTTTGGCTGACAACGCTTGGTAATCGTTATGTATACCCCGGAAAAAGTGAAAGTAAGCAGAATTCTCATCTGGCTCGAATGATGAGTGAGGACTTGAGGAGTCCTCACGGAAAGGCTGCGGCTCCACCGGGAGCTGGAGTGGACTGGCATGAGACGGGCTGGTTAGCGCCAACCATGGAGTGGTCATGAAGTCAGTGGACGAGTCACTATGCGTACTCGCAACCGGTTTGGGCACGTACAGAGTCCGGTACGAATGGCGCGACTGTCTCCTGCAGGAAAATAACACGATGGTAAGCATTTGAAGACAAAGTGATAGTAAACTGATGGTGTAATTCACTTTATTTAATTAATCATTCCTTCGACATTCTGTTGAGTAAAAACAATTTGCCAGTGACAGTCCTGCGATAACAGTTCCTAACTGCTACAACCGGTGCGTCCCATATATGATTGGATTGAATTCGAGTCTGGGACGGACCGGCATACATAGCGGCATAGCAGACCATACATAAATGAGGTGTCAAAGTGGCGTTACAAAATCTGACGGAGAGGCCGCGGACGTTACTGGCGTGTAGTAGGAATGAGAGGCTACTGACGTGTCTGTGGCCATGTGCTGGCGCAGGAAGTCCAGCTCGTCGGCGAGGTACCACTTGGAGACCATGCGGCCGCGGCCCGTGCGCACGCCGTGCATCTCGTTGCGCAGGTGGCGCGAGTACGAGTTGCGGATGTGAGACCACTTGCGCCGCACGTCGGTCACTGCACACACACATTATTACTTTATAATATCATGTAAATGTGATAACACTCACGACATAACTTTGAGCAACGAATGTTGTGATGTCCCTAAAATGTTGTGCAGTAGGTTAGGTACCTAGTAGTAGGATTACTGTAGACTGAAACCTAATAGGTAAATTAAGCCAAGCCTTCATAAATATTCTGATGCCACAGACGTTTACTTGGACTCACTCCGTGGGTTCCATTCCCATGTATTTAAATTCATATTAGGTATATAGTCCTCATAGAAAGTTGATATAATTTCATATTTTATGTTAAAACTAGCTACTGCCAGCGGCTTCGCCCGCGATCCCAGGATTCTTAGGGGTAAAATGCTAATGTATTACTTGAGACCATAATGTACCTCTGTTCCAAATTTCATTCCGGTCCATTCGATTCCATCGATTTAATATGACTGAGTAACACACACACACACACCGTTACACAAAAATAATCCTTACAGCATGATTCAGTACCTACTCACGCGCGGCGCGACGCCATCACTTGTTAGCGTATTTCATGTATAAGTTTGGTGTTTCTATACCGATTTCTAATATTCTTTTTTTATTGAATAGGTAATAATGTAAACTTTATTAAATAATGGATGAGTGAGAGTATTATAAACGTAAGAGTAAACAAATATAAGCAGAAATCTCCGAACTGCTCGTGAAGTATCGGGAGTTACACGTGTTATTGTGAGTCAACCATAAAAGATAGACATTATGCTGTTGTAGGATATTTTTTAGATAATTTTATGTAAAACATGCCCGTCATAGGTATCTATATGATTTATATGTAGCTTTATTTAATCATTAAGGCTGCACACGCGACGAAGTTTAAAAATGGAGTAACTTCTCCTGTTTTCCCAACATGTCCCTCCACTGCTCGGCTCCTATTGATTGTAGCGTGATGGAAAGTATACTATAACCCTCAACTATCGTACTACTTCATCATCAGACCCTTATTGACAATTACACCCCACCCAGGTGTAAAGTCCTCATCAATACAAATTAATCAAACCCAAACACAAGGTAGCTACATGTTAACCGTTGAGGAGTTCCCTCGACTAGCTCTCGGCTCCATCATCAGATCATCATCAAATTGTAGTGGTTTTCAATACTTAATGAAAAAATTACCAAATGCCCTAGTCGCTCCTATAATTTTTAAAAGTTTCCCTCGGTTTCCCTGGTCTTCCATCATCAGATCCTGATTTCCTTATCATGGGACCATTCTGAAACTATCTCCTGTCCAACAAAAAAAGAATTTTTAAAATCGGTTCATAAACGACGGAGATATCGGCGAACAAACATAAAAAAAAAGGATGTATACGATAGAATTGAGAACCTCCTCCTATTTTTGAAGTCGGTTAAAAAATAAGTACCTACATTCAAAAGTCAAAACTGCAGCATCTCTAAATTGGCGATAATTAATACTTAGGTACTCACTTAACATAAAGGCGATTTGTTGGCTTACTCTTGATTCCAATACCGATTGATCAACATTGTTATTGCGAAATTTCGTACTCTCGAGTTGCAACACTAGCGCCCATTGCATCTGTATTGCGTGGATATTGAAAGAACTAAATAGTATTGAGTTTGGTTTTATATCCCGTACTCTAAATGCTATATTAACAGCTGCGATTGTGGTTGTATACTTTTGACATTGAATAATTATTGAGATTTTATTGGATTGAAATTGCATTGATATTGAGATTGGTTTCAAGAGTAGGCACCCAGGCTGGACTAAGAAACATTTTATAGACGTGATTTCATCGAGGCACTACGTTAAAAAGACTAAGTAGATTTTTTAACAGAAATAGGTCCACCTACACATTGGGGACATTACCCAATGTTACGGTCGCGTGTGCGAGAGAAGCAAAGGGTTGACGGAGCAAGTGTCTTACCATCGACTACGGTCATCCACCACTAAGACAATACTATGAATACTTACAGGGTAATGTTTCGTGGTTAAGTCGATACGTACCGGACCAGCCCATCTTGTTGGCGACTTCGAGCCACAGGCGCTTGACCTGATTGTAGTAGCTGGCCACGGGCATATTGTTCCGCGCGTACAGGACACGGCGCTCGCGCACGAGCTGGATCAGGCGCCGGTCGTCGGCCTGGCTGCAGTCTACCAGCCGGCCCACCTCGCTGTCACTCTCAGCGCGTTGTGGCATTCTCTCTCTCTTCACTGACATCACTATCTCTGTTAGACTGCGTTTTTATTTAGCTGTACTTATATTTAATAGCTTCTTACTTAAGTATTTATTACTTCCAAACTAGCTTCTAGGAAATAAGTACTTTAATGTTTTTTTATCAAAATGGTCTGAGATACGATTATAAAAATATCTATTGAATACACGTCACACTATAACGAGGCCACGGAACAAACATGTCGCCGTGCACAGCGGCAGACAGACACGCGCAGTAAGAAGCAAGCCCACGACTATATCGCGCTCACTCGCACACACGAGGAGGGCGCGCGTGCGAGAGAGCGCCCAACGTCGCTCACTTAGAAACACGTGAAAAAGCAAGAGCGCAAACATTTCGTGCGTCACTCCGAGCGCCGCTTGCCGGACATTTTGTTTGTGCTCCGGCTCCGAGTGAGTGACGAGTGGCTCCGACCGCGGGCCGAGTAGCCGAGCCAGCCAACGGACACGGCGCGCCGTGCGACGAGTGGTAAGCTACATCATGAGAGCGCCCGCCGCGCCACGCGCTGGTATCGATTTGGTATCTTCCTTACTAGGTACATACTACTTACTAGTACCTGCTTTACTTTACGAATACTTGCATATGTAACACTAAACTAAAACTGAATAAGTAAAACCTTGTTCGGATAACGCTGATAATAATTATAATAATACTGGGCACAAGCACAACTTCAAATTGAGGATTAATACGTAGTCTAACAAAGCCGATTTTATTTTTAGTAATACATTAGGTAACCAGTTATATTGTACAATGTATATATAGTACACACTTATTATTTGCTACCTACACAAATAATCCAGGTAGATACTTCAAGCACCATAAACTAAAAGTCCAAAAATAACTATTGTAGGTACCTACTGCTTACCCACTGAAAGATTTTTTATAAAAAACAAAATAAAAAAATATAATTAGGTTATTTAGAATTTTGGGAAGTCTGTAAATTAAAATAATTAATTGAAGGCGTGAACTCTACATACTGCACGGTAACAATGTCATGATGATATTACCGCCGGGCGGCGCCGTGTACTGTAGAGGTTCGGGTCGGCCGTCGGCTAGACCTAGCTATAGCTACTCCCTCGCGGTTGCTCCCGCTGTTCCGCTCCTATATATCGTTGTCTTTAATATAGCTATATAATATAAACATATATTAGCCTATCCAAGCCAGTCATTCCGGAGATTAACGCGTTCAAACAAATAAACTTTTTAGCTTTGTATCTATAGGTAAGTACTTATAGACTGGCCAAATGATTCTTTATAGGGGATGAAGTAACTTTATATGGGACTGTGTGACTTCCTTATTTTAAAATTACATAGACCAACCATTTGAAACAAATAAATTTTAAACATTTAATTTATTCAACTTAATAACCAAATAAACAAGCAAAACAAAGGTGGATTTAATGGCTAAGGCATTGTACTACCTACAGCTGTACATTGTGTAGCTACATTGTACTTACAATGTAAAGGGAGCCAACAGCCAACCTATAGCTACCAGGTAGCACCAGGTAGTACTAGGTAGTATCTTAAACACCAGTGGTGTTACAAATGCGTTACTGCGCCTTTTGGGGATTAGGAATTTGAGGATAGTTGGTGATTCGGGGATTGTGGAGGGGGTAATTGGGCCCCGGTAACCTCACTTACACGACGAAACACCACGCAAGTGTTATTTCACGTCGGTTCTCTGTGACGACGTGGTAATATATTGTTCCCACTTTTATGGTAACAGATTATGAGTTTCGGTGATTTTAATATATATATATATATATATATTTAAGTACCCTTAACCGACGAGCATGCATAAAAAGATTGATGACTGTTATTGAAGCGAAAGAGGTATGTAAGAATCGTAGTAATTGGCGTTCCTTAGTCTCTGCCTACCCCCATGGGAGACAGGCGTGAAGTTATGTATGTATGTAATATATATATATATAAGCTTGAAACTTACAGAATGTTTAATCTATTTTCCTTAGCTGCATCAAGGATCAGGGATATTAAAGAAAAATACGAATTCAAATTAACTAGATATTTTAATCATGATATCTCTCTCCAGAGAGCTGTCAAACTCTTTACAAAAATAAAAATCAGATGACACATAAATCTATAGATACTAATATTATAGTAGACCAACAAACACAAACAGTTCTAGCTCCGTTCTGCCGTGAAAGATGGACAAACAAACATAAACAGACACACACTTTCATATCTATACTTATAATAAATCTGTAGAGACGTCAATTCTGTACACGAAATATATTTCCAAAATAACTGTCAGGGGTTGATTAGTGATCGATCGATACTAAAGTCGTAAATGCAATCAGTAAAATTTTTGTCTTTCTGTAGCTCAAACAATAAACGCTAATAAACAAATTGCTAGCATAGCATAAATTATACCTAAACCTCCAAATGTTGTCGCGGAGAACCTAACGGGTACCCGGGGCTCCGACTCGACGTGCAGGAGAAGGAACGGGGTGGTTTTCAGTCAGTAAGAGTCTGACACTCCCTCCCGCCTCACCCAGGCGGGAGCAGTCATTCGATGATTTTCCCCCCTTAAAAAAAACCTCCAAATGTTTCTTTTTTACCTCCTTAAGGTTCTTATAGAAACAAAAAGTACTCGACGGATTGAGCAGAGCAGTGAACGGACATGTTGGGAAAACGGGAGAAGTAACTCTAAACTTCCGTCGCGTGTGCAGCCTTAATGGTTAAAGCTACATAGATATCATGTATGTCAAAAAATTTCTACATAAAATTACCTAAAAAATATCCCAGAACAGCATCTAGCTCTCGCTCGCATCGTGTCAGCTGGGATTAATTAGTATAGGGTAGTTCGGTATCAACGACTAAATTTTTGTTTTGTACAAACTAAGTATATCCAGGTTTCGCATAAGCTAAAATATGGTGGTCCAGTAGTAATACAACTCTGCCAACAATGAAGTCTGAAAACTCTGAAACCGTATTTAACACATATCGATTACAGTCAGGATTAGATTTCTTTAGACAGATCCTCATTCCATGCCAAGGTGGCACACTTGACGTGTTCCTCACTAGTCGGCCTTGATCTGTCCTGTCGCAAGCACCGCCTGGACAGAAGGTCGGAGCGTTGCTCAGGAAGGCTTGCGCTCGTCGTCGCTAGGCTCGCTGCTGGAAGACGAGCCCGCCTCCTGCGCCCACAAGCTGGCGTAGCTCGCCTGCTCCGCCAACAATGCTTCCTCCGCCTCGATCACGGCGTTGAACAGGCTCTTCTTTATCTGTTCAAATCATTACCTAGTTATTTATGTGTGAGACTATAGCAAAGCCTTCTTTTAAATAATTGTAACGGTAAAATGGGGTGAATAGGGTTTGAGAAGTGAATAGGGACAGAAGAGGGATGAATCGGTGAATTTCCGAATATCTACATATTCACCCGTCTTCTGTCTGTAATAACCTCTCGATCCCATCCCATTTAACGATAATTAAAAAGTTCTAGTCCGTGGTTCTCTACGAGTAACTGACAAGTGTGATCTTCAGAATCAGAAAAACAGAATTTTTTTCGGTTCGAAAAAATGATAATTTAAAAACGAACATTTTGTCGTCTATTATTGTTCAATTAAATAATGATAATAATAATTGTCAAATAATCTCTTGTTTGATGATTATGAGTGAGTGAGTGTCATAAATGTGAAACTTTGCTTTCGCTTAATTTCGGAACTAAATGACCTGTAGACTTGATATTTTGGATTTTAAGTATGTGATTATAGCTTACTGGATGACGAAAAAACGGCCTGAAATTGCGGCGAAATGGTTCCAGTAAAGGATGGTACGGCAGTGTTTTCTTCGCGCGCTCGACTTGGCGGGGGCACAGCCGTACTCCCAGATTATGTATGTTTTGTAATATGTTACGGTTTGTCTTTCCTTAATAAATAAATCTTCCTTATTGCCTGTTCTAGCAATCTTTCTAGCAACAATATGGTGCTGCTTGTATTCAGAAATAGGATCGAAAAATGAAAAATCAATACGGGACTAACGTAGGTTTACTTATTATGTGAGTTTAGTCATTGTGTGAGAAGCTGTAGTTACCTTGATCTGCGTCGGGAAGGGGAAGCGTTTAGTGGACTGGCACATGCTGTTGAAGAAGATGTCGAGCGGGTCGGGGTGCGCGGCCGCGGCGAGCGCCCCCGCGCCCGGCTCGGGGCAGGATCGCTTAGCGGCCGCAGCCTTGCACAGGTAGTCCAGCTTGCGGTCGATGACGGTCAACTGCGAGCAGTTCTTACGCTTGGGCGCGGACTCCGCTTCGGACTCGGACTCGGACGACGAGTGGCCGTTCTCAGTGGCCTGCTGGGGCGCGGGGTAACTCGGTGAACCCGCTGGTTTCTTGCGGTTGCTCATGTATGGCTGCAGGAACTGCATCAGCCCCATATACTTCCAGGGATAGTTCTTCTTGGCCGGGTTAGCAGGGTCCTTGGCCAGCATCTCGCTCTGTCTCTTGAGCGCGTCGCGGTAGCTGTCCCGTAGCTTTTTCCACTTCAGCTTGACTTCTTTCACTGCGAGCAACGTTGTTACAAATTATTGTTTTTCCATATAAGTAAGAACTGGAAATACGGAAATCACCAGAAGTCGGTAACCTAAGTCCTAAACAAAAGTATTTATGAAGACTTAGGTGGGTATATCTAGTATCGGTAATTAATATTTCGTAATGGGTTTGGCACACCGACTTCGTAACTGTCAGTGTTAACTAATAACAAATCGCCCTGTATAGTGTATACCTATGTGTGTAGGTACTGTATACCTATTTAAACTATTTTATACATTATACTTACCTACACTGTTATAAGTATATTTTATTTTGAAGTTATAATCTCTACATAAATACATGTCGTAATAAAACTGTAAAAGTGCAGATTCTGTACATTGAAAATGAAAAAAAATAGTAGCATTGTTTGTATGTGTGTATGTTCACGCCACGCATCACACAAAGTCTACCGGTCCGATTATGATGAAACTTGATATGATTATAACTACTATAATATCCTGGGCATAACACTAGGTACTTTTATCCCGAAAAATTATATACACGAAAAAACAAACTTATTTATTTAAACTTAAACAAGTTAATTGTGCGGCTCAATCCCTAGCCACAGTTATTGTACCAAACACAAAATATAAGTTTGTCGAATGTCAGGTTGCAGTGGACTTTACGCTGTAACTGTAGGGTGGTTGAAATTAGCTTGAACCACTGCACAGATAAATTAATTGTTTGTATGTTTGTTATTCAGTCACATCAAAACGGCTGAATAGAATAGTATAGCTTTTCGATTAGATTAGTATATTTTCTCGAGTTTTTGTAATAACAATGTAGGTACTATTATTATAGCTTTCCAAAATCACCATTAAACGAGGTAATTTTACGCTATGTGTGTGTATATGAGTATTGTGCAATAACTATTTTTCAGCCCTTTCATTTGATAGGTATTAAAGACAATTTTTTATTCACGATTTTTTTGCCTCTAGAGGGCGCTATAAGCAGCGGACTAATGAGACCCTTCTTATGATAATATACCATATGAATGACATTTTGTTAATATTTATCAAACTATGATATCAGTAGTAGGTAAATTTTCATTACTTAAACTGTGAAACACCAAGCGGTCGAGTCGACGATCGACGAGTTAATATAGTTAATATAGCTATAGTCGGGTAATAAGAAGACGGGTCGTTTCTTTGATTTCCGTTGATATTTAATAGTAATATGTAGGTACGACAAAGTAGAGGCAGTAAACTACCTACTTCAAATAAATTAACTTTTGCCTCCAACTTTGTTCGCGTTGTTAGACAGAGTTCTATTGTTCCAATTTTAAATAAAAAATAATTAGGTAGGTAGAATCACATTTTTTTAACAATTCATCAAATATTGTGATTATTTGCAAAAAAAACATTCAAAACTCGTGATATGTCGCGAGATTGTATTTTATACTTACTGTCGCGAGTTCGTGAGATTTCGCTGGAGCCCCAATCTCCCAAGATTTGCATTTGCACTCCCTATGCGTAGGTGATCAGTAGGGTTACCAACTTTTTTTAGAAGAAATAGAGTATATCTGATTTTAAAGGGCGTAAATAAAGAGTACGGACTTACAAAAAAGAGTATAATTTATTATACTTTTATAAAAAGGTATTTTTTGTACGTTTTGCGGCACATAACAATTTTTTACT